AAAAAAAAAAAGTAAAAACTTAGAAAATAAATGGACAAAGTAAAATAAAATAAAATAAAATAAAATAAAATGGTGGTCTACAGACCAACTCCATCAACATGATTCAAGAGCTTGTTAGAAGTGGAGAATTTCAGGACCCACTCTAGAACCCGGGATTTAGAATATGTATTTTAACAGGATCAAGTTGATAAGTACCCATCCACTTGATTTCTATGATCTTTCCAATTTCTGAAATGTTATGAATTTTGAACATTTAACTGTAACATATTCTTTTTATAATTCTATAATCAAGTGAGTGAATACAGTTTTGGAAGCTGACTAAAAAAATAAAAAATAAAATAAAATACATGTGTGTGTTTAATGAATAAATGAAATAAGCTAAAGTTGAGATTCGTCAAACGAGCCCTCTACACTCTCCCTTTCTTCACCTACAACCCTGCAAGTCAGTCTGAATGACTCCTCCTGGAGGGTCTCCCTGCCATTATCAGAATCTCTGAATTGTCTCTGTGTTATTCCCACTCTTAGCACTTCTGGAAGTCTGACTTTTGACCTCTTCTATTAGCCAGAAAAGTTCCAGCACTGGGCCAAGGAGGGACTCCCTCTCATCCATGCTGGTAACTCGACATTATCAGGCACAGTATCTGGAACACACTGGCCAATCAAAAACTCTCTCTCAACTGATAGAATTATGGATTTATCTCAATTTTAAGACCTGCCAGAGCTTTCACAGACATTTCAGGGATTCTCAGACCATGGCTTTGTCAGAGCTGAATATTTTCACAGATGGACAACCACTTTGGAAACAAAGAAGTTTCTCAAAAAGTGAAGCATATATCTACCATGTGACCCAGCCATTTCACTTCTATGTATTTACAAGAGAGAAATCAAAGCCTCTGTCCGTATAAAGACTCCTATGTCAGTGTTCATAGCAGCTTTATTTGTACAGGTGAAACCCTGGAAACAATCCAAGTATTTATCAACAGGAGAATCAGTGAACAAATTGTGGCATACCTACACCATGAAAGGCTACTCAGCAATGAAAAAAAAAAAAAATATATATATATATTGATACCTTCAGCCATATGGATGAATCTCAAAATAATTACGCTGAGTGGAAGAAGCCAGACAAAAAGGAATACATATTGTATGATCCAATTTTTATAAAAACTGTAGAAAATATAAACTACCGTGACAGAAAGGAAATTGGTAACTGCTGATAAGAGGGACAAAAAGAGCAGGGAGGGGACATGGGGAGCAGTGACTCCGGAACAAGGAAGGTTTGAGGATGATGGATGTATTTATTATCTTGATTATGGTGGTGGTTTCCATATTACCAAGTTGCATGGTTAAATATGTCTAACCTATTATATGTTATTCGATAATGCCATTTTAAAAAGCCAGAAAGAGGGGCGCCTAGGTGGCTCAGTCAGTTAAGCATCCGACTCTTGATTTCGGCTCAGGTCATGATCTCATAGTTTGTGAGTTCAAACCCCGTGTAGGGCTATGCGCTGGCAGCATGGAGTCTGCTGGGGACTCTCTCTCTTCCTCTTTCTCTGCTCCTCCCCCACTTGCTCACTCTCTCTTGAAATAAATAAATTTTTAAAACTTTATAAAAAAGTAAGAAAAAAACCCTGCCCTATATCTTCCTATCATCAGCTTCTTGTTCCCATTGGAATGCTGTTAGAACTTCCCATTTTAGGGATCTATTGTAATGTTTGGAGGTTTTTTTTAAATAAAATCAGAATCTGTAATGTTCTAATATTAGAAGGACCTGCTATGTAATACCTTTTACATTCTGGAAAAAGAGTGGGGAAACCATTATTTGAAAGATGGGAGAGATAGTAGCCTGCATCTAAAAATAGCTTGAATGTTCATCAGTAAGAGAACAACTCAATAAATTATACTTCCATTCTTAGGCATGATCTACCTAATTAAAAATGAATTAAACTCGGGGAGTCTGGGTGTCTCAGTCTATTAAACGACCGATTTCAGCTCAGGTCATGATCTCGCAGTTCGTGAGTTCCAGCCCCGCGTCGGGCTCTGTGCTGACAGCTCAGAGCCTGGATTCCTGCTTCAGATTCTGTGTCTCCCTCTCTCTCTGCCCATCCCACACTCATGCTTTGTCTCTCTGTCGAAAATAAGTAAACATTAAAAAAATATTTGTAAAAAAAAGCTAAACTCTATACCTTAACCTGGAGGCATGTCCACAGTATATTAAGTGAATAATGCAAGTTGCAGGGCAATATGAAGTCTGAGCCTACAGAGAAAGCCAATGTTTGTGAATGTGTATGGAGGAACAAAGTCGGAGAAGCATTTACACCAAGCACATCAGTAACCTAGAGGGACTGGAGAGGTTGTTTGGAGGAAAAGCACAGACCAGAAAACTTGTGAAACGGTTCTTTGGCACTAATAACCTCCTTATACACAACGTGACTTCTTTTATCACCTCTTCCTCTTTTTATTGAGGCTTTGCCCCTCCAATCCAGAGTTATCCGGCTTCCAAGTTCCCTCCCTTTGGTGGCAAACAATTGAATGTAAGTGTTTACGATC